TTGTTTTCGGGGGTTTACTTGAGGGATCAAGATCTGCGGATGTTTGTAGATCCTCTTGCTGATTCGGGTTTGCTCTCCTAATTAGGGGATACGGAATGGCTGCGAAGGATGAGGCAACAGAACGACCGGGGACACGATTGTGAATAAGGTGGTTTCTCCTGTAATATAGGGAGTCATCTGTATCGAAGCCATCGTAACAGAGCCCGATGGATTGGAGAATGACTCAGTGCCGATAATGTATCGCAAACGTGCTGCGTGGCTCATGATGTTGGTGTAGGTGAGTGCCAATTTGGCAATGCAGTCATTCCGCTATCATCCAGAACCGGCTTTCACCGGGGTCATTCTAGCAGTGTCTCAGTATGAGCGCCGAGCTGAGGGGAAGCCGCATTCATGACAACCCGGCACGGCTAGTTGTCCACGCAGTACCATGTTGCCGTAAGCGACCATGCTTGCATCTATTAGCCTATGAAAGACCTTGTATCAGGGCAGAGCGTTGGAGTGGCGTTTGATACGATGCTCAGCAACATGCTCCCCTGCTTGCTCATCATGGTGCATCAACGGCGACAGGGCCTGGAGCATGCCTCCGACCTCCTCTCAAGACTAATGGGGTACATACCAAGACGTGTTGGTCCCTAATAGACGTAATTGTCGAGGTAAGTGGTAGGGATGGAAGAGCATAAATGATAAGCAAAGCGGCGGCGAAGCTCCGATCTATAAGAAAGCCAAAACCCGCCACACAACTTCATGCGTTTCTCTTCTTTCTTTATCATTGACCGCATTAACCCGAACTCGAAGATGACTATTATTGATCTTACCAACGAAAGCGAGGACGAGGTCGGAGTCGAGGTCGAGGTCGAGGGCAAGGAGCTTTCGCACTTTTGCTCCTGGTGTTATGAACCCCTCCAAGAGAATCGCTTGCTCTCTGGTTGCTCATGCGTTTGTTCCCCACGCCCGGACTCGAGGCTTGACTAAACACATGCTCAGGTCATTTGTCCGAAATGCTGCAACAACTACCGAGAATACAACGGGACCGTTGAAGTGTACTGTTCCAAGCAAAACCACTCGCGCCATGGAGGTCAGCAGGTTCGAAAGATCTATGAGTTGGCCTGCGCCATCTGCCAAGCAGATAACCTACGCATGCCTCTACAAGCCATTTCGTGCGGTAAGTCTAATCCCATTACTTGATACCAAGGTTCTACAGGCTTATTTGATTCCAAGGTCACGTATTTCACACCGCATGTCTTCAATCCCTTGGGCCAGAACTCGCAAAGATGTGTCCATACAGATGTGGTACAGGAAATTGTTGCCTTGTGGCTCCTACAAGTCGGTTGGAGAATCGCAACGGCGGTATAAAGAGGAGAAAGTTCTTAACAAGCGAGTATCATAATCGGAGACTGATGAAGAAACTAAGAGAGGAACGGAGTAGGCATATCCAGAAGATATTGGACGACGAAGAGGAGGAATTGAAGGAGTGGAAAGCTCGGACCATGGCAACATTACGCGATCTAGAGCAGCGACTTGCCATTGCACAGTAATCTTTCTGCAAAGGCACGCTTGAAAACAGGACGTTTGCCACAAGTCTCTTATAACGATACGAGTATCCTACTTTAGGTATTGATAGTTGCTTCCGACCTTGAATATTTTTTTTTTGCAATTGGCTGCGTAGAGTATTCTTGTTTTCTGACATAATCTTGATAAAAGAAAATCTTCTGCCTATGTGCTGAATGGCTTCACCCGCTCCCGACTTGTACCGCTATAGCCCTAATACTGGCGGTTAAGGAATTGGCCTTCGTCCGACTTAAAGCTTCCTTCTCTGCAGGTGTGCCAACATGGTGAGGTCTCTGAATTCTGAGACCGTCTTGCTGAGAGGTTTGAAAATCCGCATACAGGCTAAAGTCGTGAAAACTGCATTCCTTGATCTTGCGATGGAAGATCTTCGGAGTTTTCCTCGCCACCAATACGGCAGCTGATAAGTTGCAAGCCACTGGCCGCCATGCTACCGACACTGTTTCGGGGTGAATACTTTGTTCACATTGTCTATAATCAAAATGTGAGGAATCAGACCAAAGCAGGGCTTGCAAAGAAGGAGTAGGTAAGCAAGTGGAAAGACCATGAGCTATAAGTTACTGATGAGTTCACAGGGCGCGCTGATGCCTCAGTATAGCCGCCCACCAACGACGACAAACTTCGCGTTTTCGGTCTACTATATCCACTGCCGTTAGGCATCGGAATGCATTGGCGGAAAAGTTTCAACAAGAAGGTCTTATCTGCTCCTTAGAGGGGTCTGTAGTACTGCATAATACAATTCTGGCCAGTGCTGCATGATATCCTTTACCAGGTGGTTCGATAGGTAGTTGAGGTTCCTGATCGAAAATTTGACAGAGTCAGACCTCAGACTCTGTCTACAATCGTTTCCCCAGGCAACCCAACGGGCTGGCCTTTACTGTCATCCACACAGCTACAGCTGCCGTTACCATGAAAAGTGATCCGGATACTAGGCCGAGAAGAGCAGCATACTGCCAGGCATGTCCAGCTGTAAACCAAAAAACTAGGCCAATAACCAACTCGAATAACATAAAGTCGAGAAAGAAGATCGGCACCCATGCCGTTGCTCGACGCATGCGGGTGGGCTCGTGGCTGCTCTGGAACTCGAACGAAAGCATGATTGTTATCATTGCTGTAAAGACTGCCGTGATGACTGAGCTGACGAGGAGGCACGTTGAGACATCGTTCAAGACCGAGGCGGTTGTTGCCGATCTACCAAGCAACACGATCATGGTAGCGCTGCCAGAAATGGCAGATGCGAGGATGACCACTGGGTACAGACTCTTCAGACGGTCACTCTCTGCAATCTCTGCGTCGAATTAGCAATCCGACGGACCGGAAACATCCATAGTGGTGCACTTGCCATGGGATGAGACGAGGATCTTGGTCTCTGTTGGGGAAGTCATTACTGGGAAGGTTGCTGGTTTGGTTTGAAGTTTAGAATGTGCACCTCTACAATAAGGAGCATCTGAAAAAGATGATGAACCTAATGAATACAGTACACGTATGCGTCGATTGCGCAACCTTATTTAACTAATGCTTCGTGTTGTGGATAATCCACCAACTTGGTCCTCATCCATTTCCTGCGCTTCGGCCGCTTCAAGAAAGCTAACGGGGCCGCTTTTAAGTACAGCCAAAAGTAGCTGCTCTCTCTCAAGATTTGGATATGTGGGTCAAAAATGGATGTTCCAAGCCAGGGGCAAGCAGGGAGCAGACCTCCAGAGATATCCACTCTTTCGGGTAACACTTTTGCACGTCTTTCCAGTAGGTCTTCCGCTTGGGCCGATATCGATAGCAAACGCAACATGGTGTCCATGACTTCTTGGGGCGTCCGCGAGCGTGCGTCGGTCGTACAATACGTAGAACTGCGAGCATTGCAGAGCAACCCAGTCGGTAAGAACGATGCTTGGGCGCAAAAGGGATCATTGTGACTGTTATTGTGGAGAGTGCCAGGAACAATCGGCTAACCGGGTTAACGTGCATGAGGATTTGAAGCGGCAGCTCATTAGGCAACGCTAGGATTCCCGATGACTGAATCGGCTGTGGCTGTTCAAGAAGCTGCTTTCCTTAGCATAAGGTCTACAAACGTCTGGACGCAGACCTAGCCTATCCCCGATGGTATTTTGAACGTATCCCACTGAGCAGGGGCATGCTTGCTCTGGCAATCGGCTAGGTGAGAAGGCCACTGTGCGTACATCAGGGATGACGAATGATGTGGAGTGGTTTCTGTGTGGGGTTTGGACGATACACATCGCAACTTGGTCGGTGCGGTCGAGGAACGAATCACCCGCCACATGCGGCGTGTGCCCAGCTCGCTTCCTGTCCGATGTTTTCCCAGATGTGTTTACACCAATCCACATAAATTGAATGTACTCTCAACACAAACGGCCGGCAGGCGCGCGCCTGGTTCGGCCACGAAGGATATTCCAATAATGCGCGATGAATGTTCCACACGAACCAGGCGAATCGCCACTGCAGATGTGCCATGCAAGATTCGGAGACAAAAAAGGCTCACCGCTCACCGCCAATGTTGCCCGGTCTTCCGCCATCGCACTATGAGAAGCTCGAGATACCGATGCCTCAAAAGTTTACAAGTTGCACTCGTCAGGAGTAACGCTCACCTTCTCATTGGCGGTCACAAAGTAGCCGGTGACTTCGCGTTATATCTCAAAACTTGCCCAAACGGCCACTTCCGCCGTGAAGCCAGGTTCCGCGGGGCCTGTCTGTTACTCGCATCCTAATAAATCACTCGAGAGATTGAGCTTGCAATCATGCATCAGTGGTTCGCGCTGGCTTGGCACTGGCTCTTAGTACACAGACCACCTAGCGGTGCCCCCACAGCCGACAGGATGGGTTAAGCAACATCATGTCCATCGACCACGCCCTCCAGGTCGTCACCCCAGCTGACCGTAATCCGCCACCCTGGCCTCACCGTAGCATGAACGGCGAAGATGTGTGGCGATGATCCATAATTAGCGGCGCCCCCAGGTCGCCGCAGCGGTATCAACTTCCCATGTGTTGAATGTCCGGTCCTTTGTCAACGGACTCGGGCATAGTTATGAGCCCCGTCCTGGCCCTCGGGAGAGCCTCCGTGCCGGCCATGTTCGCTGGCCGCGGCACACGGCACGCATGGGCATGCTGTCGCGGGTGTCCCAAGCGCTGACCCCCCAAGGTAATTACGAAGTCCGCATTTGACGCGGCGGTAATTAACACTGGCGACCATGTCTGGTAAGCCACGGTCGCAGGTGTACGTACTTGCTGGAAGATTTGAAACATTCTCTGTCGCTTGCCGCTGTCACCCTCGTCGTCTCCTTGTAGTCGTTGCTCAATTAAGTCAGTTAAGAATGTCAACATCCTCTCGCTCTGACACCAAGTTAACGTTGGACCAGTGAAGGCGGTTGCTGTATATATGGACTGCTCCCCTTTACTTAGTGGCTACTTGTTTTCCTACCAACTCATAGTCGCGGTGGGTTTCTGGCACCATAAGCCGGCCTCGCATTTCGGTTTCCTCGACTCTGAACCGTTGCTCGGACTTCCCTAACTGCTTTGACACCTAGCCGGATTTGGCGGATATGCCCGATCTCAAACTCTCCCTGCCGTCTTGCAAGTCGAATCTGCTTGGACACTTGCCAAAAGAAGCGGTGAATCTTTTTTGTGTTCTTTGCAATCCGAAAAACGGGCGCAACAGCAGCAGTTGGCGTCTTCTGGGTTTTCGTCTCTCGGCCAGGGGCTTCCTCGTTGCTTTCCGCTGTATTTTCCATCACCGCGTCGCCCCTCGTCTTCTCCACCTCCCCACCTTCCCAATCAGGCATGGTGGTGTTTGGCTGTTCTTCCTGCCGGCTGTCGTCGACTGGTCCAGAGGGATCAAAGCGACTGGTCGTCTCGGCTTCCATCTCAAACAGATCATGCATGCCAACCTCAAGGAACCCGATGAAGGAGTCCTCCTCGCCCGCGTTAGTCTGAGCCGCCGGGTCGGTGTCAACCACGGCGACGTCCTCCGTCATGTCGTCGCGGTTTTCGCTGAACGGCGCTGTTTCTGTGGGTATCTCATGTTGTGCTGGGTTCGTGGGATCTTCGTCCAAACAGGCGTCGCCTTGTTGGGTGTCCGACGCGATGCCGCAAATATCAGCGACACCATTGTCATTGGCCTCGATCTCGTGAGGAGCATCCGAGTCTTCATTCACGACTTCATTCGCTTCTGCGTCTTCGGCTGCGCTGGCAACGCTCTCTTCTGTTGCACTGTCTGTAAGCTGCCCCACTTTGTTGTCGCCTGCCTCCACCGTAGTTTGACTGGGCTTGGGGGTGGTCTCCCCCCGTCGACGGCGTGTGACCCGACGTTGGCCTCCAATTCCTTGCATGCCGTTGGCGAGTTCCGCTAGCTGGTCCAGACTTACGTCAGTTCAAACCGTCCGAACCCCAAAAGACTTCTCTATTGCCAAGACTTACAAACCGGTTCACGTCAGGGATACTTTGGCCTTGCGGGACGTAGACAGCCCCGTCTAATTTTCCATAGGTTGGATTGAAATGGACGACGGCCGAAAAAACCCGGGCCCCCAGGCCCAGCTGCACGGCTTTGCGCTTCGCGCTTCCCCCGCATTTTCGGACCTTCTCTTTCGCCTTTTTGTCGTATGTGAAGACGATCTCGTCCGACGCCACAGGGGCCATGGCTTCGTGACTTTGAGAATTTCTGACAGAATCTAGCTACTGTACATACGAATGTGATCTAATCCATCACAGTGTCGGCTGAGACTACATGCCGTGATGTGACCACATTGCCCTCAAATATGACTTCTCTCGGGCGAAAGCCATTACGAGCTCTGTGGTACGGCGTGATGCGAGCCGGTTTGAGCTCTCATCACCGATTTGTTGCCCTTGCAGCTCCTACGTCGCAGCGCTTCGTTGATGTTGAGCCGATTTTTGCTCTGCCAACCGCAAGCCAAACGGCTGAAAGTGGCTTCTCACTCGGTTTCCGATTCCTGCTTTCTGGGAATCACTTCACCGCAGCCGTTTGTCTTGCATGCTGAATTTCGGGTACCTTTTCAGCAAGAACAGCCACAAGTGGCTGTGGTGGAGAAATTTTCAAGTCAACAACTAGAAGCCGGTATTGGACTCGATTACATTGTAGCAGATCGTCGGGAGCGAAGAGACGGTATGCAGCACCGAAGCGCGGATGCCAAAAGCTGGTAGAGATATCTCAGCCACAATTGCTCCGGCCTATTGCATGTTGAGGCTGGCCACTCGATTGGCCTCGTTACTCGGGTTGTCACTGAACCTTTTCTGCTTACGCAAGGCGACGCGATGAACGCGACCCCATCGCATTCTTCCGGATGTGTTGGCCCATGGGACAGGCTTCGAGTGGTCTTAATACGAATGATGACTGAATTGCAAGCAGTTTCCATTCGCCTGCAAACGACCATTTCCAAATTTCCATCGTTATGTCAACCCGCATATGTCACCCCTCTGATGAGCCCAATTAGCCTGATCAGTAGTGAATAGGGCTTCACAAGTTCGAGCTCGATATTGCCGAAGGGATGGTGAGGAAGCTCGTCCACAAGGCACATAGATAGTGAAGTACAACTCCGAAACGACACAGGCCCATCGGGGACTCTGACATGGTAGAGCTGCACGATTCTCGGCGTAGGAGACGATGGCTTATCAGAATACTTGAAACCGTTTGCATTTCGGAGGGCACAATAAGACCACGCTAGCAGGTGGCTCTAGGCTGTTGACTTATGCCAAAGAATGATAAAAGACAGCTCAAGGAGAGAGGGAACATCAGTTGGGCGCACCAGCCCTGTATCTACGGTACATCCGATGATCGTCATACCCCCTGAGCAAGAACTGAGGTTCAGGTCTTACATAATCTAGGGCGCGACTGTTTACAGGTCTGGCGTTAGCGACCTCGACGTCCTGCCTCTCTCTATTAGAGACTGGAGACCGACGTGAACAAGTTTCCATGACACGATAGTAACGACGAGAATAAAGATAGTAGTGAAGACGTTGCTCGGCTTTGGCCGACGTCATTCGCCCGCTCCGTTTCTTAGGCGCGCATTGTTGCATAGCATGAATAATGGAGGCATGGTAAAGTTCCCCTGTTGCCCCGCGATACCGTAGTGCAGCGCCAGCAACGTACATTCACTCTCAGTGTGTTCCAGACCCGGTTCCACAAATGTTCCTTACGAGGGCAGATGGATAGTGTACTGATTTGCGACTTGGTTCACAACGCTCGTTGCACGAGCTTTGCCTGAGAACCAAGTCACTAAGAACAGCGCCCGCCGGTCGTGGGGATCCAAGATTGCTCTCAATCTCAACCTAGTCCAGGCCTTGCTACATGGCCAGAAACCTGTCAACCGCTTTCGCCAACCCACACCTGAGGCAAAGTTGATTCGTCGGGAGAAAATCCAGCAAGTTGAAGTGGCAAGCTGGACGACTGTGACGCCAATAAATCATCATGCCTTTGACATACATGGTGGCTGTGGAAACGACCTCTTCAGCGCTCCGAAGTACAGGAAGACCACTTGAACCTATTCCAGAAGATCACACTTGCCAGTCAAAACGCTGTGCAAGCTGGTCCATCTAATGTATGGGGTGAATGGTCCGGAAGGAGCTTGAAGGGTGACAATACTCAGGAGTAAATGCCATTGACTAAAAGATTGACGAACCAGGAGTTTGCAGGGGGGCGTTTGGTACCGGGATTGTCAACTCTTGTCACAGGGATTCAGTCGATTCCACATAGTTACCCTTGTAACTTATTATGTGTGCGTGGAATAGGGAAAAGGAACACATATATGAAGCCCACGAATCGATCGACGTGAGGCCACGCAGAACGATCATCAACACCAACAGCGGAACGGAGCATCACCTCAATAAGAAACATGTCTATCGCCGGCATTGATATCAAGAACAAAGACGAAGGATGCGGAGCATATGATACCACTGGCGTTCCGGAGCCGCCGCCCCGTCCAAAGCCTGGATAACAGATGACGAGGTTAGTCCTGTCGAAAGCATTACAACTTGCTTCGTCTAACTCCGTGCATTATAAGACAGACAAAGGTGTAAAAGCAAAGAGATAAAGGAAATGTCGATACCGATATCTGTGGATCATCCGCGGGTAAATCAAGTCGCTAGAGGGAGCTAACTTTGGACCAAAATGTCGGCAGCGATTCTTCCTAGGATATTGTAATCATCAATCATTCAATTCCTCATCACACGTGTAAATAGGCTGGTAACGTCTCTGAGGACCGCTTTGTGAACTACCTTTGACATGTGTTATCTGGTTGGTTCGTCTGTATGTTTGGTTGGCGTGGTGCATTGTCTCCTATCCGCGTGTGGCTTGTTGTGTTACCGTTGTGGCATCTTTTCATAATTGAAGGAGCCTATCTGAGTAATTAAGAGAAGCTAGCAAAGAAGCAAGTAAGGCTTTGGGAAGTCGAATCTTGAAAGCGTCATCTTTTTCCAACATAAATCCCACGCAAACAGATGTGACACAGAAGTCTTGTCAGGCCCTCAGAGACAGGCTTCCATGACCTTTCTTGCGGCAAAGTCATGATACGTGCTTAATGAAAACATCGTCCACCGCTTTATCCAAGTAGAAAACCCAGCAGTGGACGTAAACCAGATCTCACCCGTGCTTTCATTTCTCATCAGCACCGCCCCGCATCGCCCGATCGTCGTGTCCCGGCCACCAGGAAGAGCAAGGTTGGTCTAACGAAAACGGTCCCAAAGCGAGATGCTCAGAAAGAAAGCAACAAAGATTGCAAAGTGACTACAGCTAGCGCCATGCGAAGCGGTTGCGCTGACGGGGATAGTCGCGGTGGTGTGCACTGTTGGTTTGTGGTATGTCCAAGAGGGTTCAACATTGCCACCAGATGTCGTCGTCGTCGTCGTCGTCGTCATCGTCGTAAAACTGGTAATTGCGCTAGCGTTTGATGTTTCGTGGTCGAAACTAGCATTCCAGAACCGATGGCCTGATACCAAGGTGTTGTTGGGTAGTGTGGTTGTATGTGCTGCCGTCGTGGTGGACGTGTCGCCCTCGGTGGCCCACGTGCATATTCGAGGAAGCTCAGCTACTGTTTCTGACGGCGGCTGGGAGGTACTGACTCTCGGAGCAGCAGCAGTGTACACATTGGCAACCGCCCAGATCTCCATTGCAACGGAATCCGATTTGGTTCAACACACAAGTGAGGCTGGAAAGTAATCCTTCAACTCACCTGTTATATATGGCATTCATTTCCCAAAGCTAAAAATGGCTCTGAACCTACGACTGTATTCGTGGTGCGCAAAAGCACGTTTCCGTTTGTCTCGAAAATTTGAAGGCGATGAGACTGCTGCCAGATGTGGCTCATTTTGGCATGCTGTTATATACGACCCTTATGTCGTGAGATATTGACCCTTTCGCCATCGCGAGCTTGCAACATCAAAAATGACACCGTTATTTCCGCAAGAGCCACTTGCTGTCCACTTCGGGCGAACAATGGCTGACGTTTACGAGGACCTTCTGTTTTCCCCTGGTGCGACAAACCATTCTTCTTCAGCAGCACAACCACGAAACCTGCACAGCACCGCTGCGTTCCAACTCAGGCTGGAAGAAGCGAACAGCTTTGTGGCTAGCAGCGTCAGAAACGATCCGAGGTCGCCGTTTCGCCCGGAGAGCAAGTTTTCCCCAGTGGCTACGTCGTCGGCGTCAGGCCTAACAGTATGCCTTAGAGACTTGGAGGTGACGAAGGGATCTGGGTCAATCTTTCGAAGGTCAGAGTAGACGCGGAATTGGCGGAGCGAGTGAAACACCGCGAAAGCTCTCGGCCATTATTTTGATCAGGTTCATCGTTATCACGGATGCATAGTGTCAGTCGACAAAACGGGGGCCACCAGGGAGCTGATATAGTCTACCATGCATCCGTGTGACTTGTGCACTAGTCAAAATTGTGCTAAGCGGGTGACGATTCGAAGGCGGACAGCATCGGCCTTCGTATTTTGTCTACAGTATAACCTTGTTCTTCTTTATCTATGACATGCCGCTTAAACAGCCAGACGTGATGATGCTTTGGACATGAGCGACAGCATGAGTGACAGCATGAGTGACATCATAGCAGCTTTGTTCTGTAGTAATCACGGTCTACATCGATGGCTCGCGGACCTTCAATTCGGCGACCACTGAAACACAGGTGGACAACTCCAAACGCCAGGATAGACACCTATCATACGACCATCGTCGGCCACAAAATAGTACGCCATCCTACCATTGACGAATTCCATGACAAGTCTACCATTCGTCACCCAGCCGAGCGTAGCGCCGGGTGTGATTGATTCAAACTGAATGACATTGCGACGGCCACTTTTCCTCAGGCTCTGACGGCTGGCAAGCAGTCAGTCCCTCATTCTATGGAAACTGTAACGCCAGACACGTACCGTGGACCACGTAGTCGTAGCCCTGGGGGTTCTCCTTTCTCGTTTCGGGCGGAAGGCGGCGATTCCAGGCTGGCTGATCTGTCGCATGGGTCCAGTTCGGCTTCGGGGGTTATTGCCATGAACCTGACGAGGGCTTGGGCTGCGATCAAAACTCACTCTTCGGCGCAGAGTCTTGCATCTTCACGCAGGTCGTGCGTTTCGTAAGTAGCGATGTTCAATACACACCACGAAATAGTGATGTCAGCGTCAAAGGTCGT